ATATAACAACTAGCAAAAAAGTAAAAATATGGTGGATATCAATCCAACTATATTAGCAATCATTTTGAATTTTAAGGAAAAGTTCAAAACTGAAAGAAGTTGAAAAATAAACTGAACTGTGTAAGAGTCTACACAAAATCTACTTTAAATATAAAGACTTGAACAGAATAATGTAAGTGAATTAAGATAATCCATGATAGTACTAAGAGAACAAAGTGAAAATGGTTCTATTAATTTCAAACAGAGCATACTTCAGTGATTTAAACAGAAAATCTTATGCAATGATAAAACAATTCTCTTGTTAACATTTAGCTCTCTTGTTATCATTTAAGATGACATAACAGTTCTTACTGTAAGGTACACAAAACCAAGCATTGAAAAATGTACAGAAAACCTGATAGATTTGCAAAGGGAAGTAGATGAATGCAATGTTATGGTTGGCAAGTTAGCAATGGATGTAGCAAGCATGGCAATATTAGGACATATTAGTACCGAATAGTACCAGCAGTTTACAGAGTAGAGTAGACATCTATTTGTAGTAGACATCTATTTATAGTAGACATCTATTTATAGTAGACAGAATATAGTAGATATCTATTTCATTCAACAGCGATCGAATAGTGTGCAAATTCTAAGCTGCTTCCATGGCTGCAGGACCGTTCACTCATTTTCAAAACCAACAGAAGTGGCCTGAGTCCTTCTGTCCCCACATCTTTCTGACCTTGTCCTCCACCTTCCTTCCCTATTTTTAAAGATCGTACGTTAACATTAGATCCTCACTGATAATCTTCCTGTTTTGATGTCAGGGGTTTAGCAGCTTTTCTCTGCGCTGAACCTTAACAGAATTTTCACAGGTTTCAGGGATTATGATGTTGGTATCTTTGGGATGCATTTGTGCACAAGAAGAACACCAAGCCACAGATTTCAGAAGTTCATCAATTCTAAGTCAGGATATATAAGAAGTCCACATCTAACTACTTTAATAGTGAAGTTGCTGGATAACAAACCAAAGGGGAAGATGTTTACCTAGAGAACCCACATAGAAAAGACTGATTACCTTAAAAGAATCAGAGAAATAATAATAATAACAAAAATAATCAGAGAAATAGACAACAGCTCACTTAGTAACAGAAATATGAAAACTGGAAAACAATACCTTGACGGCCTCAATGTGTCAGGTGAAACAATTGCTGTCTTACAATTCTATATCACATCAATGTGTGGTTTAATATAAGGCTGAAATAAACCTATGGACTTGGGATCCTGGGATAGAAACCATGGGGGAACTAAAGATATGGATGAGAACATCTGGAGCTGCTTCAGAAAGAGACAAGGATGATGGGACAAGTCCTTGGAAGCAATTTTTTTGTTTTGTTTTGTTTTAGTACAGGGCCAACAGGGTCTTGCTACATAGATCCGACTCTCCTAGTGGTTCTTTTGTTTTCAGCCACCCAAGTAGTCGGATTATAGGGGCGCGCCACCATGCCCAGCCTCATTTGCAGTCTCAGCGCACCCCAGGGGCGGGGCCAGCACAGCATGCCAGGGATCCAACCCTGATCATTGCGCTCTGCCTAAGTAGGTGCTTTAGTCCGCTGAGCTATCTGGCCGGGCCTCAAGGTGGAGTATTTTAAAGAAGATTGATGGCAACTTTCTTAATGTAATACATTTGAAAACATTTAAAATACACTGTGTCTTGTAATCAGACTGCATTTGTTTTCTTAGAGGAGCCATAAGAAATAGAAGCCTAGAGGCCGGGGAAATGGCTCAGAAGCCTATGTAGATAAACCTTGTTGCCTACAAAAATTACATTGAAAGCTTTTGAGTATGAAAAGAAATTTAGAAAGAAAAAGATTTGCGCCAAATCCTAGTTCTTTTGTCTTTTAGTTATACAAACTTGGAGAAATTACTTGTTATGCTGGCATCCTAATTTATTCATATTTAAGGGAAAAAGACAAAACATTTATTTCCTACAGTCTGTATGAATATGAAAATGACAGATTGCTTGATAAAATACTGAGCTATACTGAAAATCTTTGCCTTTAGGAATTAATACATAGTACAAAGGACAAATAAACTAATGAAATACACAAAACTTACCCAAATGATTGTGTATCGTATATCCTACAGGCCCCTCGTTCTCCACAGCTGTTGGTGGACCATTTTATGCATGTTCTATCAATCACGGCCCCAAAATAAATTGGACTTAGTATCCCTCCTATAAGATGAGATGAAAAGCTATCAATTTGAGGAATACATTTTAAGTATAACCAGGAGGCATCTCATACTGACATACACTGCAAAGAGGAACGCTGAGTACTTTGGAAGCCTCTTTCTTTGCCCTGACACGGACAAGACGCAGTTATTAGACATTTCATAAGGTCACATGATATAGTCATGTGAGAGACATCATTTATCACCCTCGCTTTCTCAACACACCTAGGAGGAAGGCACGTTAAATGCCTATAAATCTGATCTTCATATAACGCCATCAGCTAACCTCTGAGAAGTAAATAAACGATGCTGTTAGCACATCACGGACATTATAGAGGAGCTGGAATAGTGAGAAGAGAGGTATAATTTGTTAGAGATGGGAAAAACACTCATCTCAATTGCTTCAAAGTAGAGAGTTCTTTCAATTCTACTCTAAGAAAATGAAAAAGGTGGGGCTTGCACGGGGAATCCATCCCCAGAGTCACAAGGGCTAGCTGCTTCACAGAATTGCCCAGTTTCTGCCATGTTGTCCTTTTTCTGGGCTCATAGCTCGGCCTTCTCTTTGTTGTGGTCATTAGAGCCCACAGAACTGTATTTTATATCCCCTGATTTTGTGGATTTTGAATAACTCCTAGAGTGGTCTAGGCAGTCCAAGTTAGGGCTATGATCTTATATCTGTGTTTCTATCTGTAGACTGATCAGAAAAACCATAAGTCTTCAATGTCATGGTTCCAAAAAAAATTTATTGTAGTGAATGAGTTTGCAAAATGTAAGGTATGTGAGGAACACATACATTGTTTATAACAGACATGTCCGTGTCCATCTCTTCTCACTGCTATTTTAATAACCTCTGAAAATGACTCAGTTCTAAGTATCACTAACTTGACAAAAGGTTTGTGGAACATATGAGTAGAGCTCTATCTTTCAGATAGTAGACTGAATATTGAAGATTTTACTTTTTTAAATTTTGGTGAGTGACTTCTGGAATTTTGTCATGAAGAATTCAATAGTTCATATATCATAATTTTACTGATTCCATTACTTTTTTATGTATTTAGTACAGGGTCTATAGGGCATCACTACAGAGATCGGACTAGTGGTGATCCTCCTGTTTTCAGCCTCCCAAGTGCTAGGATTACAAACACACACCACCATGCCTAGTCTCAGTCACCATCTCAGCCCACCCCGGGGGCAGGGCCAGCACAGCTTGCTGAGGACTGAAGCCTGGTCCCTGAGCCTGCCTAAGCAGGTGCTATAATCTTCTGGGCTATTTTGCTGGCCCTGATACCATTACTTTGAATTAGTCTCTAGTTTCTGATAGCAAGAAGTCTCAAAATGATAAAGGGCTAGCATGTAAAGACAAGCTACCTGAGGAAAAGTGGTGCTGAGAAAAAGGGTGAGAGATTTGTAGATTTGGAAAAACTGAAGCCACCCCATGAAAGATGAAAAATATGTCACAGA